GTTCCCATGAGAGAGCAGGGCATTCGAATCCTCAACTACCTCGACGATTGGCTCATACTTGCCCAGTCTCAGGGGCAGTTGTGCGAGCACAGGGACTTGGTGCTTTCACACCTCAGCCTGTTGGGCCTTCGGGTCAACTGGGAAAAGAGCAAACTCGCCCCGACGCAGAGAATCTCTTTTCTCAGTATGGAGTTGGACTCGGTCAAGCAGACAGCACGCCTCACGCAGAAACATGCTCAGTCGGTGTTGAACTGCTTGAATACATTCAAGAGTAGGATGGCGGTCCCACGGCATATGGCAGTCACGCCACTGGGGCTGCTCCATATGAGACCGCTGCAGCACTGGCTCCATGGCCGAGTCCCGAGGTGGGCGTGGCAATGCGATACACCGGCCTGCCGCCAAACCTTCACCCCGTGGTCAGACCTTGCATTCCTCCGGGCAGGAGTGCCCCTGGAGTAGGTCTCCAGGCATGCTGTGGTTCGCACAGATGCCTCAACCACCGGCTGGGGGGCCACGTACAACGGGCTTGCAGTGCCAGGGGTCTGGACGGGGCCCCAACTGCACTGGCACATCAACTGCCTCGAGTTGCTGGCAGTGCACCTTGCCTTGAGCATTCTCAAAAGGAGCTTACGAGGCAAGCATGGACTAGGACAACACAGCGACCGTTGTGTACATCAACCGACAAGGTGGTCTGCGCTCCCGTCGCTTGTCGCAACTCGCCTGCCACCTCCTCCTCTGGAGTCAGAAGCATCTGAGGTCGCTTCGTGCTGTTCACATTCCTGGACTGCTCCACCGGGCAGCTGACGAGCTGTCCCGAGGTGCGCTCCCGGGAGAATGGCGACTCCATCCCCAGACGGTCCAGCTGGTTTGGAGACGTTTCGGAGCCGCTCAGGTAGACCTGTTTGCCTCTCCAGAAACCTCTCACTGCCAGTTTTTCTTCTCCCTGGCCGAGGGAACACTCCAGACGGGATGGGGAGGTTCTGAATGACCTACCTCAAGAGGTAGTCGACACCATCACTTCAGCGAGAGCACTGTCTACGAGACACACCTACGCTTTGAAGTGGAACCTGTTCGTGAGTGGTGTTCTTCTCGCCGAGAAGACCTCCAAATATGCCCAATCAGAGGTGTGTTGGCCTTTTTGCAGCAAGGGTTGGAGCGAAGGCTGTCTCCCTCCACCCTTAAAGTTTATGTTGCTGCAATTGCTGCTAAACCACGACCCCGTAGAAGGAGGTCGCTGGGGAAGCAGGACCTGGTCGTCAGGTTCCTTAAGGGGGCGAGAAGGTTAAATCCTCCATGGCCCCCCTCTATACCCTCTTGGGACCTGACTCTAGTGCTCACGGCACTACAGCAGGGCCCATTTGAGCCTTTGCAGACGGTTGAGCTGAAGTTCCTCTCAATGAAGACTTTGCTCCTGCTGGCATTGGCCTCCATCAAGAGGGTAGGGAACCTGCATGCATTTTTGGTCAACGATTCGTGCCTAGAGTTCGGGCCGGCTGATTCCCAAGTAACCCTGAGGCCCCGGTCCGGCTATGTGCCCAAGGTTCCCGCTACTCCCTTCAGGGATCAGGTGGTGAACCTCCAAGCGCTGCCCTCGGAGGAGGCAGACCCAGCCCTAGCTTGCTGTCCCGTCCAAGCCTTAAGGTGCTACGTTGACCAGACGCAAGCTTCAGGACCTCAAACCAGCTCTTTGTCTGTCACGGAGGCCGGCAGAAAGGGAATGCTGTCTCTAAGTAGAGGATGGCCCACTGGATAGTGGATGCCATCACCCTGGCTTATCAGGCACAGGGTGTGCCCTGCCCATTCAGTTTGTGAGCTCACTCAACTAGAAGTGTTGCAGCCTCCTGGGCACTGGCTCGTGATGCCTCGCTGGTGGATAGAGGTAGTCGACACCATCACTTCAGCGAGAGCACTGTCTACGAGACACACCTACGCTTTGAAGTGGAACCTGTTCGTGAGTGGTGTTCTTCTCGCCGAGAAGACCTCCAAATATGCCCAATCAGAGGTGTGTTGGCCTTTTTGCAGCAAGGGTTGGAGCGAAGGCTGTCTCCCTCCACCCTTAAAGTTTATGTTGCTGCAATTGCTGCTAAACCACGACCCCGTAGAAGGAGGTCGCTGGGGAAGCAGGACCTGGTCGTCAGGTTCCTTAAGGGGGCGAGAAGGTTAAATCCTCCATGGCCCCCCTCTATACCCTCTTGGGACCTGACTCTAGTGCTCACGGCACTACAGCAGGGCCCATTTGAGCCTTTGCAGACGGTTGAGCTGAAGTTCCTCTCAATGAAGACTTTGCTCCTGCTGGCATTGGCCTCCATCAAGAGGGTAGGGAACCTGCATGCATTTTTGGTCAACGATTCGTGCCTAGAGTTCGGGCCGGCTGATTCCCAAGTAACCCTGTGGCCCCGGTCCGGCTATGTGCCCAAGGTTCCCGCTACTCCCTTCAGGGATCAGGTGGTGAACCTCCAAGCGCTGCCCTCGGAGGAGGCAGACCCAGCCCTAGCTTGCTGTCCCGTCCAAGCCTTAAGGTGCTACGTTGACCAGACGCAAGCTTCAGGACCTCAAACCAGCTCTTTGTCTGTCACGGAGGCCGGCAGAAAGGGAATGCTGTCTCTAAGTAGAGGATGGCCCACTGGATAGTGGATGCCATCACCCTGGCTTATCAGGCACAGGGTGTGCCCTGCCCATTCAGTTTGTGAGCTCACTCAACTAGAAGTGTTGCAGCCTCCTGGGCACTGGCTCGTGATGCCTCGCTGGTGGATATCTGTAGAGCTACGGGCTGGGCGACCCCTAACACGTTCGCTAGATTCTATAGCCTTCGTGTGGAGCCGGTATCCTCCTGTGTTCTCACCTCAAATGGGTATGCGCTGCATCTGCTGCCTACTTATACTCACGCTGTGATCAGCAGCAGCTGGATGCAGTAATCGCATGCCAATGTGCATTGGCTCGTTTAGTTTACACTCAAAGTAGATTGGTCCCTCTAAGCGAGATCCCAATTCATCGGTCATCCGACGTGACGTCTCCGTTCCCTCCTTCAGGGAACGAGGGTTACATACATAACCGAGACGTTACATTTCTCATCTGTTTTAGAGAAAGTGTTATGAAGAAAGCTATTTTGTCACTGATGGTGAAATAATTGGTTAATTTAAGGTGAAGTTTTTTACAGTATGAAGCATAACACGTCAATGACAAATAAAACTTACTTTCAAAATATGCAATAAATTACTGTAGAAAAATATAAGTATAATAATAGACTCTGAATTTCAAAAACTCAAAATAACGCGACTCTGCTTCCACTCTTGAGAGAAAATGTAAAAATAAAAAAACATTTAAAAAGTAGCTGCATGCAGCAATGTTGGGCCCAAACACAACAGGGCCACCACCATACGGTTGATTTATCAAAATGCATGGTGCGCATATGCATGTAAGCGGTTAATATAAGAGGAATATTTCCAAATTTGTTGTATGTGACACATCCATCAGCCTTCATAAGAAAACATACAACACCAACTTAATCTACAGTATATTAGACAATGCACTTAAGATATGAGACTCTTCCTTTTAATCCCTGATGATGGCAACACTGTGAAAGATATCAAAAATCTGTTCACAATTTATCATCTTCAATGTCTTGCAATAATATTGACCAAGATTTGTGAGAATCATATGAATACTCTAGGAGGAGTATTTAAACATTCAGAGACAAAAAAACTCCACATTTAAACCAAATAGCCGACTTCCTTTGGTTTGGAGCTAATGACTGTAAATAAGAAAGTTGTCCGGCTTGATGAGAACAATATATATACCGAGTTTGGTGACTGCAGGTCAAACTAATCCCCATCACTTCAGTCAAAAGGGGCGATACTGAGCCCCCCTTCCACACAAATACGACTGACAGCCAACAACTCTGATGTGTGTGCTGAATTTCATTAAATTTTAAACATGCTATGAGCCTCAACAACACACAAAAATAGTATTAAAGTTTGATGCATTACCCTGGCAACACTATTGAAAATATCAAGAATCCTTTTGCAGTTTTACATCAGCCGTGTTTTGACATCATTCTGACCAAGTTTGAAACAATTCAGGTAAATATAAGAAATTTCAAAGTGTGTTTCAAAGTGACACACTTCCTGCTGCCAGTTGGTGGCGCTGTGACTGTTACATTCATATAATCAGTTCATGTGACCAAACTAGTAAGTAAATTACATATATATATTTATATATTACATTTAAACACAGCAAAGATGACCAAAGTGCTAAACAGAGAAACCCCAAGTCCAATAGAATAAAAAATATAAAATACGAAATCTGAAATAAAACCAATAAGACAAATTAAAATGCCTGGGAATAAAGATACCCTTTCAGCCAACTTTTCAAAATGATAATGAAAGGTGCAAGGCAAATGGATTCCATAAACGGAAGCAACTGAAAAGGCTTTATCATCATTAGTTTTTATATGAGAGTGGGGAACATACAGAAGAGCCATACCAGAAGATCTTAAAGGTCTACTGGATGAATAAAGAACAAGAAGAAGATAAGATGGAGCTTGATCATTAAGAGCTTTAAAAACAAACAACAACATTTTAAACTGAATCCTAAAATGGACCGGGAGCCAATGTTGCAATGCCAAAATTGGGCCAATATGGTCATATTTCTTTGCCCTGGTCAGTAGCCTTGCAGCTGCATTCTGAACCATCTGGAGTGAAAAAGGGATCAATGAGAAAGAATCTTGAAAAGACAAAAAATGTTTTAACTTTAAAAATAATCTGTAATTGATTCAAATTTTTAACTACATAATTGATTTGCTTGGTTAAGCAAAATTCTGAATCCAAGATGACATCAAAGTTTCTTGCTTGCAAAGAAATTACAGGAAAATGATTACTAAATTCCCTAATAAGATCACCTCTCAATTTTGGGTGACCAAAGATAATCATTTCAGTTTTCTCTTCATTAAGTTAGAAAAAGTTATTTGACAATCATTTTTTAATGTCCTCAAGACACTCCAGCATAGGTTGAATGGCTAGCTTTTAACAGCAAATAAATCTGGGTATCATCAGCATAAAAATAAAAAGAAACATTGTGCCTCCTAATAATATTTCCAAGCGGTAACATAAGTTCAAAAGAAGCGGGCCCAAAATGGAACCCTGAGGTACTCCACTAATAATAAATTTACATTTAGCCATTTTGCAGACGCTTTTATCCAAAGCGACTTACAATTGGGGGATACATAAAGCGATTCTTCTTAAAGAGGCAAACAGACACAAGAAGTGCTTGTAATACCAAGTTTCTAGACATTGTTCAAATAAGTACAAGCTAGAAAGAGAAGGAATAAATAAAGAGAGAAAACGAAATATTCCTTCCTAGCAGCAAGTAGTAATTCAAACAGCAGATCTATAAACAAGTATTACGCAAAACACTCACGTGCAGCTGTCTGTCTCTTCTGTTGACTAATCGCTTGGCCCTGAATAATAGGCACTGAAAATGAGAAAAACGTACACAATGCTACAGAAAAGGACCCATCTTTAAGATAACTAAACCAAAAATTAATTTCCTCACCAGAGTCAAACTTTCAGTGCTTGGGCGCTAATAGATCAATTTTATCTTTCATTTGACGTGATTGTTATTTTTATTTGCAAAATAAACACTGGAATAATTCGTTTCTAGTTTGTTCTGTAAAAGTTTCCTTCATTTCCTGATACATTGGCTGGTACCAGAAATTCTGAGTGGAAACTCTGAATTCCCCTCTCCCTCCACTCCAGTGTCCTGTAAAGATAAAGATTAGCCCCGTCTCTCTACACTTACCTGAAGAGAAAATAAACCTGCCTAACCAATGGTTGCATACAGTATGTAACCACTCCAGACACTCACCGTTTGTAAAGCACCAGTAGTACAGTGGGAAAAAGGACAGCAGCATCAAAACGTAGAGTCCACCTGTTTCATCGCCGTGTTTGTAGCCTCTGCACTCCTGTGACTGTGACATGCTGCTGAACATGATGCTGTCTGTGTGTGTATATGTGTGTTATGTGTTCTCCCTTCTCAAAAACACCTCTTTCCATTACTCTTTCATGACGGTTTATAGACCAACAAAAGCCTGCATAAGTAATTCATCGGCTTGTTTTCAGTTACAATGGGTGGGAAAATACAGTTTCCATGTTGTCAGTTGTATTATTGGCTCTTGTTCCCTTTCTGATTATATGTAAACGCTGCCTAGCATCACTGGGAAATCCTCAAAATCAGCGGCCATCCCAGCATGCAACTGAATTACCTGTTGAACTCTTTTATTATGGTACTATTTTCATATATTTTATAGGAAAAATAACATAAATTAGTCAATTAATAAAAATAATTAAATAACAGTACAAACCCACAGTATCCTGCCATAACATACGAGTTGCACTTGACCCAATATGCCCCTTATTATGGCAAAATCTAAATTGGCATTTGTTTTCACAAGTAAACATAATAGCTTAAAAATGTATAACTCATAAAAACATAAAGCGCTGTTTCATTTCTCTACTTACTGTATTGTCTAAAAAAATTGAGACACCAAGAAATGGGGGAAAAAACTCAAATCAAACCATCTCAACGCATACAACGTTACAAGACCTACGCAGTGCTGAAATAGGAAGTTTCACGACCCTGTAACAAAGTCACCAGCTGGTGTGCAGCATGTGCTTCTTTGTTTCTTTTGTTTTTCAGCCACGTGTCTCCACCCCATGTTTAGTGTGCTCTTTTTGTTCTGATCACCCTCACCTGCTTCTGGTTCCTTTGTTATCCAGAAAGAGATGCACACTTCATTGCAGTTCACATATTATCTGCACTAACAATTATTATTGTTATAGTATGCATGCCTTAAGACAAAAGCCACAAAACTCTAGTTTGGATTTGATGTGGTTTAAGGAAAATACTGCAATAAATATCTCGTTCCACAAACCTTACCCGAGTCCACCTGGACTGGGCTAGGAATCATGTATGAATTGCTCAAACTGTGTATTTATGTTTTCTCTTACTTTCCTGAGTTACTGTATACATCTAGTGATATACTATACACCCAAATAAAACATTTCTAAATTCAGAATGATTAGGGAGCTGGTCCTCCCTAGGACTGTAAAGTGTGCACTTGATGTTAGGTTATGGCAGAAGTGACCTGCTATCGTTCAGAGATCGGGCTTGTTCAAATTCCTCCCAGTGGCGTTTCGGTCAGGACTTTGACCACATCAATCGAGTTTCAGCTACACTAGACTCAGTACACCACTGTTCACTTCTACAGGCCTCATTTTGAGCAAAACAGTGCAAACGTTTTAAAATAAAGCAACTTTATCCAAAGTGACTAACACTGCACAGGTATACATTTGATCAGTTCTTGCATTCCCTGGGAATCAAGCACACAACCTTGGCGTTTATAGCTGCTCGCTCTACTATTTCAGCTACAGGGAGGCTTTAGAGCTATACAATACCCATGGAAAATTCAGTCCTCAACACACTAAATCCACACCATCTCTAGTAACGCTTCAGAGCTGTATTCAAGGCCAAGCGTATCCCATCATTCATCATGTTCAGGAACTCATGTGCACCAAAATCATGGCATGAGGAAACTTTTAGTGAAAATTTAATTCACTTAAAAACTTTAAGTGAAATTAATTATAGATATTACATGTGATTTGGTAGTAAAACAGAATGTTTCTCACTGTATTGGTATGTGTATTTTGTAAAATGTCTGCAAATGTAAAAGCATAATGACTAAATTGTCTTCTGGTAAACAGGAACTGCCGAACAGACATTTAGAAGCTTATTTTAAAGTGCGAATGATTGAAAATCAAGATGTGAAAGCGCTGTAAAAACCCATCGAAGCTCCATTTAATAGCACAAATCATTCACTCTCGAGCGGATGCTGACTCTCACCCATTAATATCAGAACAGAATTATTAATCATGTGCAGAAAAACAGCATAATATAGGTCTTACTATACATATTCACAAAACCCACTTCACAGACGACAGTATTCATGAGAACTCAGTTCACAGTGTTTAATTATTTTTTTTGATCATGTTAAACCTCCAGCTGATTTGTCCAATAACTCATGAGGATGAAGATGTAAAAATGCAGGTTATATTTGCTGAACAGAGGAAGATAATGTATCATGTATGCCGTGTCTGTCAATATGAATATAACCATCTTGTGCTCATCTCAGTTTGCAGCACTGCGGCTCGCAGCTGAAGATCTCCGGCGGATCAGAGCATCACGGGATGAAGTGAGAGATCAGTGCCGGACACATACTGTAACTCACTATCTGAATATTCACTACTGGGCCAGAAATTCACTGTTCTGACTCCACTTTACTAGCACTGTACAACTAGCTCATTTAATTCGTTAAGCATTGTGCATGAGAAAAATGTTACCCACGATTCAGAAGATCTCCAACACTATGCAAAACACAGGCCACTATTAAATTTTTTTTCTCAGTGGAAAAATTCTTGATATACAAATATAAAGTACATTCTAAACAGCTAATTTCTATTCAATTGTTTTGTGAAAAAAATAAAAAAGACAAAAAAAAGTGGCCATTACTGTAACATCAACAGCAACACCAAAAAAAAAACAACAACAATACAAATGGGACAAACAAGTAGATGGTCCTACACCCAGCATGAGGAAGTTAACTAGTGTTGATGGATTGATGGCTTTATTAAAGTTGATGGTCTTTGTTGTCCTCACTGAAGCACTTAAGCCAGACTCCGCTGACGAGGTTTAATTCTTGGATACAACTGTTGAGGAAGAAAAACAACAATTATAGTACACACACACACACACACACACGCAGTGAACTCAGTCTTTGGCACATTAGATGCTTCACAAAAACATTTCTTTTCAGACAGTTTATGTATTCTGCTTTAGTACATCGGTTGGAAATATCCATTTTAGATTTGCAAACACTGCATGCATATTTTGAAAAGCGGGCTTTAATGAAGCAATACTAAAGTCACTGAACTACAGTGCTGAGGATTATGTTCTGTATTCGTGCACATTTTTACACTAAATGTCATCAGATCTTAAACTACAACCTTCTTGAGTAAAAAAAACATAATAAATCTTTCACGTTTTTAGACATTTATCTAGTGTGAAAAGGGCAATAACTGGCTCCTCCCCCAGTCATTTTTGAGTGTCCCGTGTGAACGTGAGCCTCGGAGGCCGTCACTCACCCCCAGCAGGTTTCGGGGGACGTATCCCTCTCGGCTGGCCAGGTGCACCCACCACCACTCGGTCTCGTCCTCGTCCTCCCGCCGCAGCACCGTCATGCAGTCGCCCTCTCTGAAGGCCGGCTCGTCGTCCTGCGTGCTCTCGTAGTCCCACAGGCCGTACACCACCCCTCGGTTCATGATGCCCATCTTCTCCTGGACGCCTGAACAACATGAGAGACAGCTGTGAAACGACACGCACGACCGAGGCCTGAACACAGAGCGCGTCTGAGTTTTTAGGAGTGTTGGTATAATGCTGGAATTGTAACCAATAGACCAATTTAGAGTAGACGTCACAGTTACATCACTTGCAGCTGCGCACACATAGTGGTTGCAGAAAAACACTGGGAACAAGTGGAGGTAAATGGGTCAAATCCATGGAATAAAAGAAATATATATTTTTGTGCCTTTTGATGTCAAGATCGGAATGCAAATCATTTTTATAGAATACTGTCGTCAAAGACGCCATTTGAAGCTAAACGCAGACGTTTAAATGGACATACTATGGATGAAAACTGCTATTACTCTACTTTTAAAGCATAAATTCGATTTAAACCATAGGTCTACATAATATTCACATATGCTGTTCATAGGGGACGTATTGTATTAGCCCTACAGTTTACAGCATGAAATATTATTTAAACCTTACTATTAACATTTTTACATAACATTTATTTTAGCTCACAATTCTGACATTTTTTCTCACAAATGCAAGTTTATATCTCCTAATTCGGACTTTATAACTCGACTCAACTCAAAAATAGTGAGTTTGTCAAATCTGAGGGAAAAAAGCCAGAAGAGCCGGGGGGGGAAAGAGAGAATGACGAGTTGTTTTTCCTTATTAGAATTGTGAGATATAAACTCAGAATTTTGAAATATAAAATCAAATTTATCTTTTATTCCATGGCTCCATAGACTGCCGCTTGAAAACCGTCATTTTCTGCCTCCAGACAGGCTCCGCCCACAAAAACCGTCATCCCCGTTTCGGATCTGTAAGACTATCCCACTCTCTAACGCCAATTTCGTTGAATAACAACACGACAAGATATCGCTGGGTGACAAGCTCTTGTATTATGCGGAGAACATTTTGAAAATGACATCTAATCAATATAATTTATAATCTTTTTAAACCTAACTATTTTGTACCGTATCCGTGAAATTCTCTAGCTGTAAATGAGATCTCTCCCGGGTTTTCTGCAACCATGATGCGCACGCATCCTGAATGTTTACAAACCTATAATTGGTCTACATGTTTAGTTTGACTGCAAGTGAGTGTTTGAGAGAGAGTGGTTGAGTGTGCATGCAAAACAACTACTCTTTTTATTTTTATTTTTTTTTATATTACAAACCCAACACCAGGGGTCCAAATGTGCATCTCCCAGGATCCCAGACAATTCTCGTTGTCTAAATGTGTTTATATTCTTCATATTTTCATCAGAGCAGAAGTGACTCGTGCTCTTTCACATTCTCTTTCCATGTTTGATGCGGTCTCATATAAACAACACACTTCCATGTGCTCATGCCCGAAAACTCAGGATCAGACCCCGAGCTGACAAAGATTATAGTGAAAGCAGGCTGGATTTGATCGGTTGTGTTAAACCAATTCTACATCCTCAAGTTTGAGCTAGCGTCGTGTTATGGGCCACTGGAATCATAAGCAAATAAGCCTCAAGATCAGAGCGTTACAGAGCTTTTTCCCCACAGGTTTGAGTGTTGCTGTCATGCATGAGCTGGAGAAACACACTTAGCCGCGTGAAAACCACTGCAATGCATGGACATGGATTACTGCTTACTGAAACAGTGGAAAGCTATGTTCAGTAAATAGAAGTAAGAAAAATTCTACGGTCAAATAATATCATCTGTAGACCGTTCTGAATTAAACTGAAGTGTGGTCACAGCTGTGGCTTTCTGAAATGAGGAGGCAAAGGCCTCGTTTAGGATTTGTTAGTCCAATTTCAACTCGTTTTCCAGTTACTCCTCATCCTTTCAGGTTTGATCTGCACTTGATAAAGTGGTGATCTCTTTCATTAAACACTGGAATGGAGAAAGATGTGTTTTTAGTTTGAACTTGGATTTACGTACTGCTTTTTCTCTGAATGTGAGAGTAGACGGTCACAGTCTAAGAGAGCGGAGCAGCAGTAACTCACCGTAGAGGAACTGAGAGCACTGAGCGTATCCCTCCTCCATCTCCTCACACTTGTCTGCTGCTGTCTGCATGTCGCTGTAGGTCATGGCAAACACGGCCGCCCCAGACTCCACCAGGAACTTACACACCTGCACGTTATTACAGGACGCGGCGCAGTGCAGGGGCGTCCTAAACACACACACACACACACACGTTACACGTCACACACTGCCACCAAAACAACAGCATGTGGCTGAGGACAGGGACATCATCATCTATTTTTACTTTATGTTTTATTGTAGCCTGTTAATGTTTGTTTGATATGTCAGGGATAAAACAATGATATAATCTTGTAGGGCTTTATTTTGTGATGATGACCAGCTGTCTGTAGATCATCATGCATATTACACAGCTACTCATACAATAAATGGGACATGAAATATTGATTTGACTTTAAACTGTTCTATAATTTTGCCTGTATTTTATATTACAGCTTAATAATGTAAATACATTAGTCAAAGACAAAAGCAGGTGTTTATATTGAAGTCTCAAAGGGAACATGGAGTGTTTCAGTCAATGTTGATGTTTTATTTAGTTTAGATATCGGGGTGGGAATTTTTTGGCATCTCACAATCCAATTCTTGATCATTTTTTATTTTTGTATTAATTAATGAGTTTACTGCCTCCGAGTACCAAATTGATTTGTGCATTTTTATTAAATAAGTACTTTTTAAAATAAATACAAATTTCAAAAAATCTAAACAATTGTGTTAAGAATTATCAACCAAATAAATATAGTTTCAAAACGTACAAGTTTTAAACTAGAAAACATCGTGGAAGTAGTCCATGTTTCTCCAGTGTTTCAACTGTAATTTCCTGAAGCGACAGGAATGCTTTTTGTGTGCCAAAAAATAATGACTATATTCATAAATTTCTTCACTTCTGCTTCAATCTCCTACACGTGTTCACGAGAGCGTCTTCTTCTCTGGTCCACGAGAGCACCCCGACTCATGCGTGTTGTGTTGATGATACAACCCGCACTGTTTTTGCAAGCAGAGGAATGCTGTATTACAGCAATATTACAGCAGTGTTCCTCTTCCTCTGCTTGCAAACAGTACAGCGTGCATGTGTTGTATCATGAGTCGCGCTCTCGCGACAACACAACACCAGTCAATATTTTCAGATTTTCACATTTGAAGCTGCACTAAACCCTGAATTCCTGTCTTACTGTTCGCTCAGTGATAAGGAGGCATGTGAATGAACAATGTTTGTGTGACTGTACGACATGCAATCTGATGAAACGCTCCTCACCATCCGTCACTGTCAGCGGCGTTAACATTGACTCCAAACTGCACCAGGAATTTAACGATCTCTGTGTGGCCGGCACACACTGCGTTATGCAGCGCCGTGATTCCCTCATCGTTAGGCTGACTGGGATCCTCAACCTGTAAAACACCCATTCATCATACCGCTGCCATATTCCTGAAGTCATGATACCTAAAGCACTAATAATCAGTCGCACTCTCACACACAGAACAGTGAAATGTGACTTTCCTCGTAAATGACCCTCTGCACCAGATCAAACTCTCCCTCCAGCGATGAGTCCAGTAACAGAGCCAGAGGATTGAAGTGCACTCTCATGCTGTGGTCGATGCGCTCGGATCCGTCCTTACGCAGGTTCGTCCTCTTACCCTGCACAGAAAACACATTTACATTCATGCATTTGACAGATGCTTTTATCCAAGGCGACTTGCATTTATTACAAGTTATACAGGAAGGGCTGGAGCTCAATCGCTTCACAATCATCACACAGGACAGATCTCCAAACACAGAAGAAATTCATCATTACAAATGCTACAGAATCTCTAGGTTTTGCCTCTAAAACCAACTGAACTGACTTGATACAAAACAACACCACATTTATACTACGGCTGAGCACCGGAACAGCAGGGAGTGAGCATTGCATGTTATAGCTCACATTTTACACAGATGTCTCAGTTTCTATACACTTTTTGCACTGTTCTGTTATCAACAAAATGAAAATTTGCTATCTCCAGCTGATAACTATTCAGAATTTAGATTTCTCCAAGTAATTTCAGTGTGTGTGAAATCTTTGAAGATTCACCTCACCAATGAACATTACAGAGAAACAGCTTTTCAATAAGAACTGAATATCGTGTCGTATTTTAGACAGAAAAAAATGTGTTTTTGCTCAATGCAAATATTACCTACTAAAGCCACAGCCAGAACTGTTGTGCGTCTCTGAGCAACACAGTTTCTGAATGAATCCGTATTTTGAACAAATCAAGTGAACCAATGATTCAATGACTCATTCATAAAGAGAACCGTTTACTTCACTCGTAAATGAATCAGCCATTTTAACAAATCAAATGAATGAATGTCTCAATTTATTCATTAACACACTTACTGCCACCTACTGGCACTTTTATTTTCTTATTTAATTCATATTTCCATATGAATAAAACCTCATTAAAGGGATTGTTCACCCAAAATGTAATTTCTGTCATCATGTACTCACCCTCATGTTGTTTTAAACCTGTATTGCTTGCTTGCTTTTGCAGAACATAACACAATAATGGCTTTAAAAAAAAATTGGGGGGAGGGTGTTCTTAGCCAAAGTTTGTGTGTGATTAATTTGCAAAGTAGACAGTTGTGTAATTAGTGGTGTATATCATGTAATTCATTAGATCGAACATTTTAATCGCTTGACTGTTTGAGTTAACATTTGGATTAACTGGAATTTAAAAATATATTCAAATTATTTAGGTCAGATTAATGAGCGTTTCTTTTTTTCCTTTGTCATTATTGTTGCTAATAGTCCTTAATTAACAACTTCTTCATTTTATGTAATCTAAAGGGCTGCTGGTCAATTAAATGAGTACATTCCCCATTCTCCCTCTTGTTGTACTCCAATATTAGTTATTAAAGCATCATAAATTCCATTTCTCATTTTATTATGCCCAGAGGAGCTGTGTGTTGAGGCTACTAGTTTTATATCGGCTCTCATCATTGGTTCACTTTAACATACAGGTGATCACACAAAGCTAATGACGTGCATTTTGACATGACATTTTCCTACTGTGATCTCTATTTAAAACGAGTGCAACCAAAGTCATGTGACTTAAGACTCGTCAACACAAACCCATCTCGACTAGTGGCAGACCCTACTTGATCAGGCAAAAGATGCTTTTAATCAAAATTGGACTGAAAAAACACAGTGCATTTAATTTTGAAATGATAACTAGATGCCGCTGGCTGAGGTCTATAATGTATAGAGTATTCAGTATATATACTGTACAGGATACAGCAGAGTCAAGACTTATTTAGGGCACTTACCGGTGGGAAGGGAACCTGGCCGGTGACCTCTGGTGGCTTCATGTTGAACGTGTCTTCTGGATTCTCCTGCTCAGCGCCGCTGGGATAAGGAGGAGGAGGATACGGAGGAAAGTCCTCCGTGAAGCTGTCAGGAGGTGGAGGTGGAGGGCTGTCCGGCTGGGGCGGTGGAGGTAAAAACGAAGCGTGGGGCTGTGGGGCCGGGTGTGGAGGTGGTGAAGGAGGGATGTCCTCTCGGTCAGTGTCTGGGGTGGCTGAGGACACCGCAGGCTCAGGAACAGGCTGCTCTGCTTCCTCAAGTGAAGCTTCATCAGATCTGTGAGGATCTGCGGGCGTCGTCTCCTTCTCTTCTCCAGGAGGACTCACTGCGGTCTCCATAGCGGCCAGAGTCGTCTTCTGGTACAAGAGCTTCTGGATGTTGGGGCCGCACGGGCCCTCGGGCTCCGTGATGGAGCTGCGTTTCTTCAGGGGTCTTGGTGCGTTGTAGAGTTTCTTCCTGAGAGCCTCTAAGTCGGCGTCGCTCTGACAGCGGTAGGGGTTGGAGATGAAGGGCAGCAGTTTGGTGGGACTGAGAGGTCTGGGGACCCGCTCGCCCTCAGATCCTCCAGCGCTGTGGTCCTTCTCGGTTTCTGGGCCACTGGACGAGTCCAAGTACGGGTTCTCAGGGTGCTGGTTTTGAGACTGCTGGCCTGCGGGGGTCACTGGTTTCCCATAAACTGCATGTGCATGAAGACAAAAACAACTCCAATATCAAAATCAAAATCATGATTAAAATAATCACAAATAATCTTATGCTTTTATACTGTTTTCACGCTTTCATTCAACGCCATTTGTCACAGAACCAACAATATTCATAGTGCACAGCGCCAAGTTTATTAGAAAGCTAGTTTAAGACCCTGATATACTTTCAAGCATAATCAAAAGAACAAACTGATGTGATGTCATTTTGAACAAAACCAGGCCAAAATTAAGTTTGTTAAGAGTTTGTTTCAGGTGATAGAAACAGCTTGCCAAAGAAAACATTACAGAAAAGTTTGCTGGTAAACACCTTCAAACTACCAGTGCTCTGTGGTTATTACGCAATAGGCAAATGTGCTCTGGGGCTCCGCCTACTCTTATGTGGGAATGTTTTCTGATAATTTTCTTCTGTTCAGTCCGTCAAGGTAAGACGCAAGTAAAAACATGAGCCGTGTCAATGCATGTCTCTTTAAATGCTAATGAGCTCTGCTCACCCCACCCCTCTCTTCTGTGGGGCGTCGACACAAGACCCGTGAATATAGCATATATGGCTCAAAGGGTGTCTTATTCAAATAGCTAGCTATCTACAAAGAAAAACAGCTCGCTGGATAACAGTTTCAGACTCAGACAGCCCATAACAAACTGGCTGTGCGTTTTTAGCATTACTGAGCTGGCAGACAAGCCAGAAACCTAACTAAATACAAAAAAAGCTTTAAAAAATAAAATACAATTAAAATAAAAAAAAATTATAAAAATAAAAAAGGCAAAATTTTATCCGATGTCCCCTTTAACTACAGTAATATTTATATCAGACAGAAGGATCTATATTGGACTAGGTGGTACTTGCATGTTCTGATTTGACCAGAGGTGGTACTGGCTTATAAACTCTAAGATACAGTGTATTCAATAATACAAATACAGTTTATAGATTTGCTCTCACTTCATTTACCAAGTGTTTTTTGCTGCTGACCTTCAATGATCCCACCATGAATACATTCCACTATGCAAATGACTTCAAATCAGTCACACATCATATTAGGTGGCCTTAACTGTATTTAAGCATTTTATACAACATACAAATTGGTGCAGCAAATGTGTTTAAAGTACTTGCATTTAGTTAACATCTGTAGCGACACTCTTAACCACTAACCGTAACCCAACCCTTACTGCTAAACCTAACCATTCCTCAAACTCATTAGTGATGGTTGGAGTTTTCCAGAACAACATATAGTTATGCAGTAAATCATAGTTTAATGTTAGTACATAATAGTTAAGGCCACCTCATATAAAGTGTGAACAACTTTCCTACTCTTCTGTTGTTCTGATAGTGTTCCTGCATCTATTATTCTGATGTGAAAGGGCCGTTGGGATGAATCCAGTCATGTGTGTTGAAGAGTCCAATGATTCACTCACCGCTGATGAAGTTGCTGCCACGGTTCTGGGCTCGGCTCAGCGCTCCCTGCGGCTGTGTGTACATGGAGTAGATGGAGCTGGTGGTCAGCATTTGGGGCTTGTGCAGGACCTGCCCACCAGAGTCTTTGGCCCCAGGAGGCTCGAGGCTGAAGGGGTGTACAGTGGCAGCTGGGGGAGCCTCCTGTTTGGAGGGAAGAGGTAAAGTACTACCAGACTGGGATCCAGTGGGCAGCTGCTGAGTGGAAGGTTTACTCTTCCCAGGGAAGGTACCGGCGCTGAGGGCACCCTTGCCGTATCCCATCTGGCCACCAGAGGGAAGGTTGGCCTGTTTCGGTTTAGTCGGAACTGGAGGAGGAACCTTGACTGTGTTCTTGACAGCGCTCTGAGTGTAAGGAGATGCAAGGTCCTCGCTGCTCTGGTTCTTCCGTAAAGAAGTTGCCGGTGGATCAATGGACTCAAACATGGAGACTGGGCGCACCCTGGGGTCCCGCTTCAGCACCTCTGTGTTATCTGGTATAGGGAGCAGAAGAATTCACAATACATTTAATCAGAGACTAACTGGGTGTTACACATCCAATGGGGATGCGAAGTGTAGAGGGTCACCTTGGTTTTTAGATGCCTGGGTCACCATGCGTGGCAGACTGGACGACCCAAGATTACCGCCTGTCTTTGTAGCGGCTGAACTCCAGTTAAACTTCTTTGAGGACACCTTGCCTGAATGCAGACATGACGGACAGAATTACATTTCAGTCTCATTCTGATGATAATGGTCAAATTCAGACTGTAGTGAGTGAGGTCCCTTAAACTGCGTCATCATGAACACACAATCACATTTCTGTCATGACAAATCTCGGAGGGATTGGCATGGTAATGTACATGACAAAGTTAATGTATTTGGTCTTGGTGGAATAGATCTGCTACACTGCTGCTGCTGCAGAGCAAGTACCGAGACTTGCTACTGCTAATACATCCACAACATGCTGCTGTGAGCATGTAAGAAATATTGCTGCTGCAAATATAACATACATGAAATAAGCCCATATAGTGTACATGATCACCTCGTAGCAGATCTATACAGGTGGAGCTGGGGAAGGTGGAGGGTTTCTGAAGCAAGCTGCAAACTGCTACGGCAAGCACTAGTCATATATTTGAATGTTGAGCAGCGAGCTCATTGGCTACCGATACAGGAGAGAACCAATCAGCTGTGCCATGTGATAATGATGTCATTAGGTCAGATTGAGTCAGACCTATCGGACTGCGCCATCTAGAGTTTCATGCCAGAACTCTGTATATGTAGCAACAACCACCAGTGTTGGGGTTAACACATTACAAGTAACGGGAGTCACGGAATCGGATTACATTTTTCAAGGAACTAGTAAAGTAACATTACTTTTAAATTTACAAGAAAATATTGTGAGTGAGGGGCAGAGGCACTTCCTTGAGCATGAGGCTTATTAATTTCACTTTTGGTGTGAAAGGGCCTTTACAGTTGCCAAAAATAGAAAATGATCATTCTGTCATCATTTACTTACCATCATGTCCAAACCTGTAACACTTCCATTCATCTTCGAAACATAAATGAAGATAATTTAATGAGAACTGAGAGAGATTTCTGTCCCTTCCTTGAAAGTCTATGTAAGCAGAAATTTGAGGATTCAAAAAGTTTATAAAGAGGAAAAACAGAATCTCAATTGCACTTGCCTGACGCTCGAGAACCAACCTCTTTGTTTTTCACACATTTGAGCTTGTTAATGCGCTCTATGTATGTGTGCTGATCAAAGTTTATGCAATATACAGTGGAGATCAAAATTAGAGAACAGTAACCACTGTAGCACGAAAAAAGATTGCAACTAAAATTTTGGAGGGTTACAGCTGTCAGAAATGAGAAGGAATTGTAGAGGCCCCTGCTTTGAATAACTTCAGCACATCTGGGGCCGCAGGACATCAGTAGTTTCTCACACTGCGCTGCTGTGATCTTGGTCCACTCTTCTTCCAGTCTCTTCCATCGCTCGGTGACTGTAGTGGGTTTCTTAGCCATAACTTTGTCATCATGGATTTTCCAAAGATTTTCAGTTGGGTTTAGATCAGGACTCTGGGCCGGCCATTTCATTATTTTCCGCTTCAAGGAACTGTTTTACCTGTTTTGCAGTGTGACGGGGAGCCTTGTCTTTGGCTGATTGGGAGATGCTTGCAGGGAAGGAACCGCATGTTGCTGAAGGAGGTTCTGATAAACATTTGTATTCACCTGTAATGTATCTGTATAAGAGGCTCAACTCCTGCTGCAGAAAACATCTCCCAAACAATGACACTTCCTCCTCCACCTTTCACTGACTTCTTTACGCACTCGGGCTTCAGTCTTTCCCCAATGTGACGCCAAACAAAATGTTTCCCATCAGACTCAAATAAATGAAACTTACTCTCATCACTAAAGTGAACTTTGGACCAGTGCTCCTCTCTCCACACAACATGCTCCTCAGCAAAGATGAGTCTAGCCTTTTGATTCTCTCTGCTGATGAGAGGCTTCGTCACTGCAAGAGTGCGCTTTCAGTCTGACTTCTCTTAAACGTGCCGAGACAGATCCATACCCTGTTCAGCACTGAACTGGCGAGCAATTCCAGCTGCAGTGCTGAACCGATTCCCCATTGAGAGTCTCCATATTATCCTGTCTTCTTGTGCATTTTTCTTTCGTGGACTACCTCGAAGGCTTTCACCTGGACCGCCTCCTGTTACAGGGTTTCAGTCACCGCCATCTTGCAATCTCAGTGAAAACTGGAAGAATGCCGTCAGTTAAATAGGGTTTGTCAGATAATTAAGGAAATTGGCACCAGGTGCCAGATTAACACCAATAACTGGGAGGTATCTGTAAGTGTTCTCTAATTTTGATCGGAGTTCTTTTTCAAATATCTTATTTAAGTTTTTTATACTGTGCTTCAGAATACAATTACTTCATGAAATATGCTTAAAAAACTGCCCTTCTACTCCTGTTAAGATAACTTCCAATAGGACTAAGCAGTGACCTTGCAATTTAGGAAATTGTAGGTTGCTCTCTAATTTTGATCTTCACTCTATGTGACTTTCAATGGAGGGATGGAAATCTCTCAGGTTTCATTAAAAATATGTTTATTTGTGTTTCAAAGATCCAAAGTCTTATGGGTTTGGAACGACATGAGTAAATGACTGAATTTTCATTTTTGGGTGAACTGTCTGTTAAACAGAACACGCTCTCTGAATGAATGGATTAGACCAGCCTGCATACTGGACCACAGATTAAAAATGCTGTCTTTTCTGTAGTTCTGTCTATTCTTACAAAGGCAAAATGCAGTAACTGCATATTTTGTCAAAAAACTAATCATTTACACATACACTTACGCACTGGGCAGACAAAGTACACATTTTATCAATATGTGTTCCCATGGGAGTCAAAACCATGACCTTGGCTTTGTTAGCTCGGTGCTCTACTAGCTGAGCTACAGGAACAGAGTTAGACTGAAATGTCTCTCCCAACAACACGCCTGTGCACCACCAGGTCCTTAAAAGAATAAAAACTGAAATTTAAATTTAAAGTTCAATGCATAGGATCATTTTCTATATTCTAAAATGATCATCTCCGTTACATACGTAACACTGGTTCTCTATGTAGAAAACAAAATGCTATGGGAACACCTCCCAGATGTATAAAAAAGTTTGTATAAATTTTTTTTTTTTTTAAATTCTTGTAATATCGTACCAAATTATATTTGCTATTTTAGTCTCTTTTGATAAAGCTGCTAACTGTTCATCTGTGGCTGAATGCACAATATAAAATAATTACAGCATCTCAATCAGAACCCAACACAGAGATACAGGGAAATCAGATCAACATGGTTTTGTGTGCATGTTTGCCATCGATACTGCTAACCTGCAGTAAACATGAAGTTTTAGAATTACATATAAAGCAGAGGCAATAATTCATTTTTAATAATTAGATCACAGTAACTGAACACACTGAACAGACAGCATAGTTCTTTGGGTCGGGTAAACCAGTGATCTGCAAACCTGAGTCCGGGTGAGTGGTCTTGTCCTGGTGTGGTACAGTCGCTGTGCCTTCTGGGTAAGTGTGTTTAAAGGGGCCCCTGGGCATCGTAGAGGACTGGATATAAGGACCGACAGCAGCCACACGGGCCGGTCCTGTCTGCTGCGCTGTCTGGCCATCTGAAGGCAACTGGAATAAGAACATATCAGCAGTGAAACCACACACCGATCATAGCCAAACGAGGACAATATGAACTCACTATGGACTCTGTGTGCCTGATACTGATTTTACTATACACGTCAATCCAAATATTTAGCAAAAAATATCTAAAGCAACTAGGGATGCTCCGATCCACCTTTTTCGCCTCCGATACCGATTCCGATACCTAGGGTTCGGTATTGGCCGATACAGATAACGATACCAGTGAAGTTTTTTCCCCTCATTTAAATATCTCTGTGTGGAACTGATAATGATTCTTTCACAATCTACTAGATACAAACTACTTCATTAGAAACATAAAATAAACAAATATGAAAAAATATAGGCCTATGTATATTTATAATCTATGACAAAAAAATATCATAAACTAGGTTAGTGGATAATTTGGCAGCAAAAATTATTCTAGAAAAATCAGTGCACAATAATTTTAGAAATCCAAACATTTAGTGAAAAACAATATTTTGTGGGGAACAAATAAAAGTGTTGCACTAAATATGGTAAAATGTTACACATTGCTATTTGTATTATTATAAAATCCATTCATTAAAAACATTCATGAATGTATTTATATATAAGTATATACTATAAAATTAAAATACATTTCTTTTAAATGTATAGCATATTTTTTTAATAAGGCAACAACATATGATACGATAGGACAAAACAAATACAGTGCAGCACGAACTGTTTTTATACACTCAACCCTCAACGGACACCTTTGTGATTGAATCGCCATCGGCTAGTATATATTTTTGTTTACTTGCCAGACTGCAATACTATACTAATATATATATATATATATATATATATATATATAAGGTTATGCCATTTTACAAATATATATAATGTTTGTAAAATGGTACAGCTTTTTAAATATCTGAAAGTACACTCTTAATATCAGTCAGTCACGCATTATAATATGATAATCAAGTATTATTTAATAATAGAAGTTTAGTAATTAGAACTTGGTAACCATGAATTTAGGATTGGTGCTGGTGCTTTTTTTGCTCATTCAGTGTTCCTGTAAAAAAAAACAAAAAAACAACAATAATACTGTTAAGATATTATTATTATTATTATACGAATTCTACTAATAAGAACAATATAAAAACGCACTAAGGATTAATGAGCTACTGGATTCATGAATATTAATCAGGTTGTGTGCGTTCGCTCGAACTGATTTGCTGACATCAAAACAGGGAGGATAATAGTTTCTCACACTCATCAACCCTCAAAGAACACATGAACATCCACACTAAAGAGAAACTGTACACATGCGATCAATGCGGGAAAACATTTTTGAGGGCTTCAGTCCTGAAGAATCACCTGAGAGTTCATTCAAAGGAGAAGCCACATTCATGTTCTTTGTGTGGGAAGAGTTTTTCATGTCAAAAACAATTAAAACAACATCAGAAAATACATACTGCTGTGAGAGAGTACATGTGCTTTGAGTGTGAAAAGACTTTTACTTCAGCGACCTGTTTAAAACTGCATGAGAGGATCCACACTGGAGAGAAACCGTATCACTGCACTGCATGTGGGAAGTGTTTCAATAATTAATCTTCTCTACACAGGAACACAGAATGATCTCGGAGAGAGCTTTACCGAGCTGACTGCTGTAACCGAACGCGAGCAGGGTTTAAAGGCTGAACGAATGACTGCCAGCCACAGCGAGAAAAGAGTTTGTGTGAACTTTAATGTAAGGACTTAAATATTCATATGTAGCTCACATTAAGCTATCAGAAGTAACAGAATAATTCACACAATCGAGAAAAAAAAAAAATCGGATTTGGATCGGCTCTCTCTGACCGATACCCGATCCAAGAAAAATGGAAGTATCGGAGCCGATACCCGATATGAATATCGGATCGGCACATCCCTAAAAGCAACAGTAAATAATTGTTTTCAAAATAAACAATGTTAAACCTGTTAAGCACCTACATCCGTACTAGGCATGGGCGATATACCAGTAGACTCGATTAACCGGTAGAAATATCGAAGTTACTCACTCACGTGACGTTGCTGTGCTACGTGGTCATGCAAACTCATTGTTTTCACACTTTTTTTTTTTTAAGCACTGTGGTTTAAAAACAAGTGATTTGAAGCCATTGAAATCCAATCAGCAGCAAAAGAGAACTCGCATCTTAAAGTGACAGCAGTCTGTCTGTCATTCATGTCAATCAAACAACAAAAGAGAAAATCTCTCGCTGTTCTTGACTAAATCACTTTTGTAACTTTAAGAAGAAATATACATTTAATTTGTACAGTGAAGAATATGCAGTGTTTTTATACTTTTGATTACTTTATACAATGCAGCACTTTTGGTCATATCGTCCACCCCTAATCCCTACTTATAAAATCTGTCAAATCGGTCCATGATCCCGGGTCTCTTTTCAGAGTCCTGTGGTATAACATCCAGAATCATCCATATTGCCCCGACTGAATTTGGGAATTTTCAAAATACTGTTTTACAAACAGCTGTATTGGAATGAAATTTGGAAATTTGTTATTGGGATCATTTTTGACTTTCCAAAAGTAATACTTTTTTGATTTTTCACTTAATAATTGAAGCTGTAGCTTTTGTGTATTTAAATGAAACTTTGTATGAAACGTATGAACATGCTCTGAAGGCCTCTGTTCTTCAGCATAGTGCCATCTACAGGCTAAAAGAGGTACAAAAAAATATACCAAAAACCTTTTGCTCTTGCTAAAATCATTCTAAAATCATTTGATTCCTCTGACTCATATGTACAATATGTTCTAGTAGAAGGCACTTACTGAACTGAGTTCATAAAATCAAGTTAACGTCAACTTGTTCTTCATTTTCTTACATTTTTCACAATATCACATAGCCTCTCAAAACACACCGTTTACGTTTTCAGAAGGAAAAAAAGCCTATATAAGCCTTTTACTGACAACTTTATATATTACAACTTTACAGTGAGTTCAGTGCCTTCATCATGAGGCAAAAAGTCACTGTCCAAAACCTTCACCCTCTCTGTTCCTCTCTGCTGGATTGAGCTGCCAACCTCCACCTGAACTGCTGAGACCATCACAGCTGAAGACGCTCCTCTTCTGCAAGCACTGAACCAAAAGAACATTTCCTCTGCATCGTTACCATTCTTGTAGCTTGCTTCCTAATCTAGTTGTCTAATAAACCTGGCATTGTGTATTATGATGCTGGCTCTTTGACAAACTGCTTTGTTCCTCTTCTGTAATGTGCTTTGGATAAAAGCGAATGCATGAATGTAAAGGAAGACTTTTCATCAAATTCACATTAATGTATGGGCTGGTGTGAACAGAGAAAATGGCTCACGTTCACAGGGAGGTTCTCTTTCTGCTGAAGGGCTGCTTTCTTCTTCCACAAGCGATCTCGCAGCTCACCGACTCGTCTGTCCATGGTGTCCACCTCCTGGTTCCTCTTGTTCAGGTTGTCTCTCTGCTGCTGCAGTTTAGCGCTCTGCTCCAGGTTCAAGTTTTTCCTCATCTGGTGAACACACACACACACAGGTGAGATGTTTCGAGCAGAGGCTCGAGGCTGTGATGTTCTCCTAACTCTCGCCTGCTCTTACCTGTAGTTCCCTGTAGAGTCTGTCCAGCTCGGCCACTGAGCTGTGGTTACTGTGAAGCGCATCCAGCTGGCCGTTTTTCAGGGTGTCCAGCTGTTTGTTCAGTTCTTCCACTTTAGACACGGCGACTACCAACTCTTTCTGCTTCTGAAGGAGTATATTGTTCATCTGTTCCACATGCTCAACTGAAACAAACACACAGACAGAATAACTTCCACTGCACGAGCTCAAAATCCTTGGGCCTGCGCTGAAAACACTGAATATGAGATGACCATTATATGTACACAAGAATATTCAAATGAGTCACATGATTGTGGTCATATTTAGGAGCACCACACATGACATGCAGGCAAAAAAAAAAACAGTTACCGTGGCCACATTGCACTCAATCATTCTCTCGTTTTATTGATTTATAAACAAGGGAATGAATTAGGGATGTAACGATGCACTCAATTCAAGAGGATTAGTGTCGGTTGAGATGTTAATCGAATCACGATGGAGCTGCTGGTGGGGGTTTATATGAATGTATGGGGAACTCACGGTCTTCAGAAAAGTTTAGATGGCGTTTTCTTTTCATCTCGTCTCTGTATAATTCATATTAAAGCAGTGTTTCAGCGCAGTGCTGCTTTGTTTACAGCGGTAACCAAGTTAAACGTTGTATCGCTGCTGCTCCATGAGCGCCTCCTGCTGTCAGAGAGAGAATCTGCGTCTCATTCAGAGCTTCTGCTGTTTCGGTCTCGTGCCGTACAGTTTCACAAAGCATTCTGTTTACGCTTCAGATTTCGAAATTCTACAATCAATTTTAAATCAGAAACTGCTCATGCTGCATGTATCAGAGTCTTTGTTTGGATTGTGATTGAAATGCAATGGTTGCCTCTCATTTTAAATGGAAAGAGCACAGACAAAGCCTTCGTTTGCTCATATGAAGAGACTTCTTTTATTGTATTATTTAGATTTGCTTTAAAATTTCAATTTAGTTTTATTATTTGACATTTCAATTTTACAAATAAATGTGCAGCATTTTGTCTAAGAAATAATAAAATTACACCTTTTCATTTATGATTTGACTTTACTTTTTTTTTTATATATAATCGTGAGAAAATCATATTGTGAAATCAGTAATCGTATGGCATAGTGAGTTGATTTAAATAACTTGAATGGCAAGAGACAACAGAAGAGCAGGAGGAGAATGAGCATAGTTTATTCAGAATAAACTGAAGGTGAAAATATAATGCAGGAATATTCCTCTATCCGTAGTCTTTTTGGAGCATGCAAACGTTTCTGGAAATAAAGGTTTAATGAGAAGATGGACCTTGACCGGAGAATGGTGTGCAGAGTTAAGAAACACAGTCAATGAATGAGTTTATTGTCAAATTAATCATTCATGGCTGCTCCAATTTTCTTAGAGGAGCTTGCTAAATTTTGTGCTAGTTAACATGCACATGATTCATGATGATGCACTTAGAAATGCTTTGCATAGGTTCCTAAGAACATTTAGGAAATTACTGTATGCTTACATCTAGAAGCATTCTGTGCACATCTTTATAAATGATGCAAAATATTTAACCAGCTGTCAAACAGAGAGCGCTGAATGCATCATGAGGAAGGCACGGTGTACTTTGAAAAGCTCATTATGCAGACCTCACTTCAATCTCCAAGAAAACACATATGTTATATCAGCAGCAAGACTGCTGGAGATCATAACGAGCAGCGCGGCGACGCTCACCGAGTTTCCCATTGCTGAGGCGCTTCTGCTCCACCTGTCCCTTCAGAGCTCGCACCATCTTCAGCTGTGCCTCCTGTTTCTCCACCGCGTCCCTCAGATGCTGCAGTTTCTTCTGCTGCGAGGACGTCTGCAGATGCCTGTGCTCCTGCTGCTTCAGGAAACACAAGCGCTGCTCCTGCGGGACAGTGAGAGGACAGCGAGATGCTCACATTCACTGACCACCTGTTACAAAACCTGCCGCATTTCCATCTCATCTTAAATCATCACAAACACGCACAGCACATGATGAGGAACACAACACCGTTGTATTTATCCTGTTGTTTTATGTCATTTGCATCCTTGATCTTATATTTAAATAACAAAGATAAGTATCTACATTGTAATGTACATAGTTATCATGAAATAATACTACTTACAGTATATTATATTGTGAAATAAGATTTTGGTCATATCTCCCACTGTATTTTTTCGGTTCCCAGCCCTACCTAGTGTTGTGCTCTCTTCCCGTTCATCTCTAATCTACTCAGTCATTTTCCCCATTCTGATGTGTTTTCCTGTACCTTGGAGGCCAGGAGCTGCTGCTGGGTGTCAATCTGATGCTGCTGTCTGGAAGCCATCTCCTGCAGCTCTGCGAGAGTCATGTCCATCCACGGGTTGCTCACCTGCGCACACAAACATCAGGCTCTGAAATCATCACATGCTCATCCATTTCCTGATCGACTAGACTGCACTCCTCGTGCTTTCAGATGTGGGAGTCAAACACCGGGATCACGTTACACGAGGAAAGGAAAGCCACACAAGTGCAGGCAGACTCACTCCATTCTCCGGCCGTCTGTCTGTGGGCTTCTTGACTCCGTTCCTCTTCTGATTCCAGCTCCTGGAGTCTGAAACAAACACAAGCCCAGTGAAAAACAATTGAACAGTCAGTAAATAAGAACAAAATTAATGAACAAATTACAAGCAACCGCACAAATAAATTAATAGAACAACGATGAGACAAATTAAAGATGCTTTAGATTTGTAGGTGTTCAAGTCCAGAAATTGAATACTTCAATGTAAAATAGCATTGCATATTCTTCACTGTATAAATTAAATGTATAGATTAATCGTTAAGCTTAATTAACATTAAGGACACCGACAGCAGTTGGTAAATTAGGCGTGATCACTTTAAACACACTTTTTGGGTCTAATATATTGTATGTATTTGTGACCCTGGACCACAAAACCAGTCATAGGGTCCTTTTTTTTTTTAATTGAGATTTATAGATCATCTGAAAGCTGAATAAATAAGCTTTCCATTGATTTGTTAGGATAGGACAATATTTGGCTGAGATACAACTATTTGAAAATCTGGAATCTGAGGGAGCAAAAAAATCTAAATATTGAGAAAATCGTCTTTAAAGTTGTCCAAATGAAGTTCTGAGCAATGCATATAACTAATGAGAAATTAAGTTTTGATATATTTACGGTAGGAAATTTACAAAATATCTTCATGGAACATGATCTTTACTTAATATCCTAATGATTTTTGTCATAAAAGAACAATCAATACTTTTGACCAATACAATGTATTTTTGGCTATTGCTACAAATATATCCCAGCGACTTAAGACTGCTTTTGTGCTCCAGGGACACATTTGTCAAGCGCAAGAAGACGCAGAAAGAAACTCCATACAGGGCTTGATTGTGTTTCCTGAGACACGGCTCTATATGTGTGCGCTGCGCACACAGAACACACTGAATGGAGTTGTTAGTCGCCTCTTCTTGTGCTTGAATGTGTTAAAATCACTTTAATGTTCAAATTGGCAAGGTGTGTTTGTCCGTTAAAGTGCAAGAAGACGCGGAAGAGAAACTCAGTTCGGGGTTTGTGCGAGTGCTGAATGGAGTTCTCTTTCACATCGTCTTGCGCTTTTTTTGCTTTTCGCCTCTTCTAATGCTTTTAAATCAATTGAATGTTTAAATTGGCAAAGCTTTAAAAACACGTGCAAATGAAACTTTCGTGAGGACACAGCAGTGGTGTTTTACGCTGGTCCCGGGCCATCTGGCAATCCTTATGGTTCAGCCCGGAGCACAACGACCTCTTAAGTCAAGAGGAAAATTTGATTTCTCATTCCATGACCCCTTTAGTAGGGCTGGGACAATAAATCGATGCATCGCAAATCGAGAAATGATTCTGCATTGATTTTCCGAAGGCGTCGCGATTCTCTCTTGAATCGATTCTGAGCTTAGTTTTTAAAGGGGTCCTATTATGCTTTTTCACTTTTTCAACTTTAGTTAGTCTGTAATGTTGCTGTTTGACGTTACAAAGCTCAAAGTCCACTTCAAAAGGAGATATTTTATTCAAAAGAAATCACTTTTCAAAAACTACAACGAACGACTCGTTTGGACTACAACGCATATGTTCTGGGATTTGTGATATCACAAATACGATGAATGAGACAAGACCTGATTGCGCTGCACTAGAGAAGGCAACGAGTGTTATCACTATGTCGGAGACACGCTAGCTTTCCCAAGACAGACAAACTTAGAGTGGTTACAATCATCCGGGTTTAAATCAATCACAGCACATTTCGTATTTCAGAAGGCAGGCCTTCATTTGATACAGGACCTATTTGAGACGTTCATGCCAGACTGGGGAGAGAGGTGTTGTAAATTATGTGAAAAATAATGTGTTTTTCGAACAACTTCGTATGACAGCCTGTTCTAGTACACCCCCAAAACAAAATCAAGACTTTGTAAAAGAGCATAATAGGACCCCTTTAACAGCAGATGGCACTGCATCCTTTAGAAATAGCCGTATTCTGCTTGCTTCCAGTTCCTTACACACACACCATTTAAACCTAAAATAATCATTTTATAATCATTCATAAAGTTCAAAAAGGTTGACGCGAATTACAAGGATGTTCACAGTGGGCTGTGTTTACATTAATGTCATCATAAAGCATAAAAGCTAAGCTCAGAATCGATTCGAGAGAGAATCACCATGCATTCCGAAAATCTCAGAATCGATCCACGAAACACGATGCATCGATTTATGGTCCCAGCCCTACCCTTTAGGCACTTTATACAGCAAAACAATTTACTATAGAGTTGTGCAATGTTTTAAAAAATATTATCAGGGCTCACAAAATCGCTAACCCGACGTCCCGCGGCTATTGTGTTTTCCAGTCGGGCTGCCAAAATGCATCACCACTCTGCCCGACGGGCTTTCTTAAATACAGATCTCCCACCAGTCCTTAAAAACTCCTAAAGTGAGCTGTATCAAACTTAAGGCCATAAGTTTTAAATATGTTAAATGGTATAAGAAATGTCTTAATTATAATTTCAAGAGGTCTTACAGTTGGGGACGGAAAGACAAGAGTCACGATACGGCTGGATTAAACTTCAAAAGGCAATGATGTCATTGAATAAATATGAGCGCTGCACGTTTCAAGACAAAACGCGGCGCGGACGTCTTTATTTGAGTGTATCTGAAGGGAACCGACTGTCCTCAGCAACGTGTCGTTGGCATTTTAATTTCATTGTACCTATAATTCCTGCTAAAGCAGCGTTTATGCACGCGGAGCTGCTTTGTGTTCAGCCGTTACTGGGGAAACCGCTATATTTCAGCGCTCCTAAAGCGCCACCTCGTGGCAGAGAATGAATTAGCATTTCCAATAAGCCTTTCTTGCTGTTTATGGTCAGATCAATGCAAATATCAACTCAATATCAAGAAGTTAATGTGCCTTCTAAAAATCTAAACAATTAAGACAGTAATATTTATACATTTTAAATTCACAATTTATATGCTTGATTTATCCCTTTTCATAAAAATGGTCTAAAGGCTGATATGCTGTTGTATAAGATTTTAGTTTTTGTGAAAACCTGTATCTGAACTGTAAATCATGTAATTTTATGGCTCAGTACAGCATGTTACCACAGACATTGTCCAACCCCACTCATACGGTGTTCATTTTACTTGTGCAGCTCTTAAAATGGGTCATAAATTCTGCAGATACCCTAAATAGTGAAATAAAATTCCTTCCTTCATATTTGGTGATATTTGTGTATTAAAAATATTTTTGATTGACATTTAAACTCCTATCTGATTTTCTATATTTAAAAAAAAAAAAAAAAAAAAGGTTTTTTTTTTTTTTGGGCTAGTAATTTTCGGGCTACCAAAATCTGAGGAGTACCTAAGGGCTACCATGGATTTAGAAATTTTGCGTGCCCTGATTATCCAATATTTTTTGTCCAAAGTTGTTGGAGCCTAGCTGTTATAGCAGTAATGCCACCTGAAGGAGGAGCAAGTACAATCACTTGTGTAAAAGTTTCATTGCCAACATTTGGCACATAACCTCATGAAATTAGATTGGTTGCTGGCAATCATTTTTGTTGACCGGTGTTAAACATTAGTTTTTTTGGTCAAACACCAATACATTCCTAAGAATTGGAAAAGCCATTTTGATTGTAACCCATATGTTGAATGTACTTATATGTGTGTGTGTGTGTGTGTGCATGGCTGAGATTTGGGATCACAGTGGTTCTGGACACTTTTTTGGATCTAGTAAATCTGCAACAGAAGTGTCATTTTGATTGTAACCCATATGTTGAATGTACTTATATGTGTGTGTGTGTGTGTGTGTGTGCATGGCTGAGATTTGGGATCACAGTGGTTCTGGACACTTTTTTGGATCTAGTAAATCTGCAACAGAAGTGAATATACCAATCCTTCCCTGTACTTCAACAGCAGTAAATACTACGGTAAGAACTGCGGTCTGAAGCACGGGTCTAAAGTGTCTCTTACCTGTCAGCAGGTTGGGCGATCTGCCCTGACGCAGAAAGAACCGAACCTCGGGCCTCTCCTGTCCCCACTGCAGCAGCAGACCCATCATCTTCTCGCTCTCGCCTATCGCTCGCTCTGCATTCATCAGCACACAAACATTAGCATCCACTCAATGGCACTATCTATTTATGGCACTAAAGTGTGGTTAAAATTCCCATAACAGAGAGAGGCAGCTGCTGGCAATTGGAACTGATCTTCATCTTATTGATTTTCGTGCAGAATAATCTTCCCCAGAGCTTCACACAGCAGACAATTCCTTTGCTAGGAAGTGGAGTGTGACGTTGGTGCAGCAATGCACTTAACGTGTACAAAGCTTAGACTGTTGTGTGGTTCTAGGTTGAACATGTGCCTCATGTTCTTTGAATGCAGAGCCATCTGGAGCTCTAGATCTAATCTGTTAGAGTTAGAGGGTCAAATAAAGATGGAGCAGAGGTGTTTTTAGCCGATTCTTGAAGATGGTTAAGGACTCAGCTGCTGGGATTGAGTTGGGCAGGTCATTCCACCAGTCTGTGAAAGTGATTTTGTGTCTCTTTGAGATGAACAATAAACTAATCAGATCTAATCTGAACGACACCGGTGGCCTGTTCTTCATTAAACCCTCACCTGAGCCTCTCCAGACTTCAGCCAGGTGGCTGGCGTCGCCCGGCTCCTTACACAGCTCCACCACGTCACGGCACGCGGTCTCGGGCGTGATGGGCACCTCTGTGAAATGCTGGTCATTGTTACTGAGGTACACAGTCAGGAACATCTGGAAAACACAAGCAGATGCGGAGGCCGAGAGGTGGACGGGGGGAGTTTGATCACACAGGTGGATACACAGGCACCTGCTGAGAGAGTACGCGACTTCCGACAGCCAACGCAGACTCACCCTCCTAAGTTAATATGCCTCCAAATTAATCAATGTGATGGTTTTTTGATATAATAGAGTCATAATCTTGTACATCCACCAATATTGTACGTAACATAAATTAAACTTTTAATCACTTTTTCCGTGTAAGGAGCTAAAGTGGGTGGATTCTGGATTTCTTGCTCGTGAATTATTCTGAATTTGGAAAATAAGCATGTAAACACAATTCAAGTCAATGGAGACTAAGCTCTAGCTGACTGACAGACAGACACAAGAAACAACACCTTTAAAACTGAAGCACACTATTGGAAACAAGGGCTTTTAAGATCTAACGTGAGATTATTTTACTTATTGACCACTGCTTTATATTAACAGCACACTCCTCGTGAATATCGACGAGCATTAGACACGAAGCCACACGAGCAATGGGTGACAGCATCACAGGCCATGTCTGTTGAGGTGAGGTATTAAAGAAGCAACAGTTTTTCACTCTACAGAAGTTCAGAGAGAGTATGGACTCGCTCACCGGCATCATCTTCGCTGAGGGTCGATGTCGTCCCACCGAGACTCTTCTGTTGACGCTTTTAATCGAGTTAATAACGCTGTTGTTGTTGTTGTTGTTGTTGTTGTCTGTAACGCTATTAGACGAGAGTCCCGAGAGGCGTGACGTCAGAGGCCTTCCCAAACTTTCCTTCCGCGAGAGCTTTTGTTCGCGAACACCGGATCACGAGTACCTTTAAGTGTTTTAATCACCGCACAAGCATTCAGATGTTCGGAAGACTAGACTAGTTCGCGTGGAAGCGGGTTTTCGGCGTCTCTTGTTGCAGTTCCCAGCGCTCTTCCTCTCGCGCTCTGGCGGCCGGGCGCCTGTTGCTGGTCGGGGGCGTGACGTCACACCTCTGGAACACGGGGCGGAGCCAAGATGGCGGCGAGAAGACAGCTGAGGGGAGACGCGAGGCTCTTCGAAACTTTAAATCAGTTGAATCAAAACGTTTGGAGCGGTGTTGCCAGATTGGATGGACGATTTCCAGCCCAAAAGCTCACAACCCCCCCCCCAAAACTTTAACTGTCAAAATAATGTGATGGAATATGTAAACCAAGCCATTTTTAACTCCTTAAAACAAAATAACGTTGACAAAATAATATAAATATAACGTTAGATAAATTTCCCAGGTAAACGGATCGAATCTGGGCAAATAGCCTACATTAAAGTGGTCATATGACGCGATTTCAATGTTTTCTTTCTCTTTGGAGTGTTACAAGCTCTTGGTGCATAAAGAAGATCTGTAAAGTTGCAAAGACTAAAGTCTCAAAACTAAAGAGATATTCTTTATAAAAGTTAAGACTCAGCCACGCCCCCCTAAAACGGCTCGTTCTAACACGCCCCCACATATCTACATCACTATGTGGGAAGATTTGCATAACGCCGCCCAAATGTTCACACAAAGAAAGAAGGCGTAACTTTTATTCTCGCTGTAGTATTGTTGCCGCCGCCGCCATGTCGTGAAGGCGCTGTGTTTCGTTGTGAAAGCGAAACTACTTTGTTTGGTCTTCCAGAAGAGGACGATATCCGCTTCGTCATGCCTGGAGCTGATCCGTGCTGGTCGCTGAGGAAATACATCAGCTTTCACCGTGGACGAAGCGGAGTCCAGCCCGGGGTCCGTCACATGTGGTTGCCGCTCCTTCGTCGGATCCGCCGGGCGTGCCGTTCTCGACCCCGCCGCCTCCGCTCACTCTAGCCCCCGGCCTCTGCGCACGCTAAGCCGGGGCTTCCGCTCATGCTAGGCCGCTGTGTGCTTCGTTGTGGAAGCAAAACTACTTTGTTTGGTCTTCCAAAAGAGGACACGACTAGAAATCAGTGGTATTTACAACACTGTTCCAGAACAGTTTAACCCAAATATTCAGATGTGTGCAGCACATTTTATGGAGGACTGTAGCAGTGTAGAGTAGGGCTTGTTGTTTGTCATCTCTCCGATCACAAATGCAGACATGGTTTTATGTTTACACGGCGCGATGCACCACGTAAAAAGACAGTATAAGTCATTATAATCAGTAATTATGCCTCCAATGGATGCAACAAATGCCTCGTTTATAATGTGTTTGAATGTTTTTGTCTCGTCGTCTGGACACGGCAGCACAGTCTCCGGCCGGACAGGGCATCATCACAGTATGGTGAGGGGCGTAACATTTTCGTCACACGCTTGAGGTATTCGGCCAATCACAACACACCTCGCTTTCAGACCGATGAGCTTTGTACAAATCTACACGTTTCAAAAAGGCGGGGCATAGAAGAGAAACACCATCTCATGTTTTTTTTTTACTTTAAACCTTAAACACATTTCATTACACCAAATACACCAAATAATGTTCTTTTTAGCAACATCATATGACCCCTTTAAAGGGAATTAGGCTACAGAACATGAATAAAATATGCAAACAGGCACTGTCAAAATGGCAATCAAGAAATGCATCAATTTCAACGTCAGCAGTCAGAATAATCCAATTTAAATGCAAAAAGTGCCCAATATAAGTGATAGAAAAAAGCAACGTTGCAGGTATTTCACACTCGTTCATGCACACACCATAGTCAAAACTGTGTCATTCATTGATAGGCTACATACTGAATTATAATCCGACAATTAAAAACAACAACAACAATAATGCGCTTACCTTCGTGTCGCTCTATAATTTTACACAGAACTGGAAGCCTCTTGTTAAGTTCATATTGTAGAACATAATACAGAACTTTGCACAGTCAAAACTAATCAAGTCTAGCAGTTTTCAAGGATTTATCAATCTGGACCGTTTAAAAGATAAAAGACAGGATCGTATAAACCGGCATATTTAGTGCAGGTTATGATTAATTAGGCCTAATTCAAATGTGCTCTGATTTCGGAGTTGATTTCTGATTTCGGAGTTGATTTCTGATTTTGGAGTTGATTTCTGATTTC